CCTAATGGTGTAAATAGGTCGATGTGCAATATCTACGGTTACATATCAACAATTATTTACTTAAATGTTTGTTTGAAAATACTTTTATCGCAAAGAAGCTTATTATTAAACTAACCAGTAATTAATTATAGTCCTCAATAAAACATTATTCATCTACAACAAAATTAACCTGGCTTTGTAAATCCTTTTGTTACATATTTATTTGTGACAAGGCGTGCTTCAATTTTGTTGCATATCACAATTAAGGGATTCGAAGGTTGCACGCAATTTTTTTCAATTTCTGTCATCGGTTTAATAGTAATGAAAGAAATATTTCTATTAAATGCTTTAATATTCAACAAAATTACACTGTTTCTAAATCAATAAAGTAGGTAATACATTTTTATCAACTAAACAAGTCCACGATTTTCCATATTACTAATTACTTGTCAATCTGTATCTGTGGAAATTTTACTTCAGCGTTTTTATGAGTGATGGCGCCCAATTACAGTCCGAAACGTTGTGTCTCAACCAATGTCCCTCTGCATTTGTTGCAAAATCACGAATGTCACATTTAAAAACTTAAAATATCTATTCGTGCCATAATTACAAGCATCACATTCTTTCTTTCGAATGATTGTGTTTTAAAAAATGTTTCTTCAACCTGTACTTCGTATTGGTTACATAATCACAAATATTACATTTAACATGTTTCGAAGCATTGTGCATTAAGGAATGTTTTGTCAAGTTATACTGTGTATTTGTAACAAAGTCGCAAGTATCACATTTAAAATCTTTCGATTTACTATGTGTTGGCAAATGTCTCTTCAAATGGCACTTCGTATTTGTCGCGTAATCACAAAGATCACATTTAAAAAATTTATAAGCTCTGTGTGATAAAATATGCCGTTTCAGAGTGCGTTTAATATTTGTGGAATAATCACAAATGCCACATTTAAAAATATCCGAAACGTTATGTATGGCAAAATGTTGCCTCAACTTTTGCATAGTATTCGTAGCATAATCGCAAACATCACATTTAAAATCGTTCGAACGATTGTGTTTTAAAAAATGTTTCTTCAAATTGTTCTTCGTATTGGTTACATAATCACAAGTATTACATTTAAAATCTTTTGAATCATTGTGGTTTAAAATATGTTGTTGCAAATTGTTCTTTGTAGTTGTTGCATAATCACAAATAGTGCATTTAAAATCTTTGGAAACATTGTGTGTTAATAGATGTCGTTTAACATTTCGTTTATGTTTTGTGGCATAATCACAATGGTCACACTCAAAACGTTTTAAATCATTGTGTGTAAAGGAATGTCGCCTCAATGTATTCTTAGAATTCGTTGCATAATGACAAATATCACATTTAAAACGTTTTGGATCATTATGTTCTAAAAAATGCTTCCTCAAATTGCACTTCGTATTCGTTACATAATCACAAGTATTACATTTAAAATCGTTTGAATGTATCGAAACATGTTGTTGCAAATTGTACTTTGTATTTGTTGCATAATTGCAAATACTACATTTAAAATCTTTCGAAGCGTTGTGTGTTAAGAGATGTTTTTTCAAATTGCCTTTATGGTTTGTGGCATAATCACATTTACCACATTCCATAACAGCTTTGTGTAAAAGGAGATGCCGTTTCAAACTTAGCTTCCTATTTGTTGCATAATTACAAATTGAACATTTTAATTCTTTAAATACTCTGTACGTTAGAAGATGAGCTTTTAGATATTGTTTACTGTTTGTTACATAATCACAGTGTGCACATTTAAAATCGTGTGTCACAAGGTGTACTTTAAAACATGGTTCATTATTAGTCGAGAAAACCTTTACACTTTGCAATTTGGCGCTTGACGAATGATCTTGTTGCAGCATTTCTTTCCCATTAGACTCGTCGTAACGATATTCGGCACTAGTCGTAATCTCATTATCTTCTTGTTTTAAGGTTCCCAAAAAATCATTGGTTACGAAAACGTTTTTTTCGAGAGAAGACTTTATTTCGTCTTCTAGGGTTGGCTCAATTTTAACAAGTGAAATGTTGTCATCAGCCATAGCTGTCTATAATAATTTTAAATTTGTATAACCATAAACGGGACTTACCTCGACATGTAATGCCTTATTCTTCATAAGCACAGACCATTCTACGAGCAAACCTAAATTGTGAATGATGTTTCTGAGAATCTAAAGCTTCATTCACAATGCAAGAATTAAGTAATTACACTTAACGCAGAAAATAGAAAAAGACTGTTCACCATAGCATTGATTATGCACGAGTAGCGAATATTGCACTCCAGCGCCTCCACACAACGACTCTGACATTTCGTGAGGTGAAACAAATCTTTGATCGCATTGTTTACCATTCATGTTAAATAAAAATTCAGCCATAATGAGTGGTTTGTAGCAGTCTGTACGGTTTAAGAGATTAGAGTATAGTTTTTCACGTTTGATTTGCATCTGATTTACTCGTAGAAATTAAGGTTGGGTCAGTTGCGTGTTACATTACAGTGTAGTTACAGACACATGTCTTGCAGGAATGTTAAAAATTCAGGCTTCTTTTCTTGTTGCATTATTGTTTAATTATATTAAATTTCGTTTCTAAATTGAGACATACGTAAATATAATCAAACGTGCAAATTAGTTCGTAAACCCGATTTCTGACATGAATTGTCTCCAGAAACACCATTTTTAATATATCCTTTGGTGGGTGAAAAGTGGAAAATATCAGGAAACCATCTACACAACAAGTCGGGAGCAAGGGGCCGTTTTACAAGTCATTTAACGCAGTGGTCCCTTTTAAAAGCTTGATCATAACCTCAAATTGGAATTATTGCACACAAAAGAAAAATTACAAAAAAAAAACGGTCATTCTGGAGACGAAACTATGTAAAATAATAGCAAAACAGATGTGTACTTACACTCTTCTCACTTTCGTTATCCAATTTTCTCTTCTTTGCAACTCATATGGTCTGTTGGGAAAGCTGTAGAATTTTACAGAAGAGTCCGTATTTATGTACGAATTACTGCATCCAATAACACAACAAGAAACTCTGGACGAACGAAAAGTGTTTTTCGAAGTCATAATTGTTGTTTTATTTGGAGTAAGCTTGCAAATATTAATACAGTAATAAACGGTCGCTGAACTTATTTAACCACATCTTATGTTAAATTCGCCACTAGACGGCGCCACATCCGAATATGCTATTCGCCTTAGTACAAGAAAAAACAAAATGGTTGCCACCTGTAAATACACCTTCAAAACCCCACCACCAAAATAATCAAGAAAAAAAAACCGGGAACGCGTGATGCCTTCCGTCGACGCCACTGGTGGAGAAAATAACTTTTGTACATCAGAAAATGCATCTTGATGTTTTTTTTTAAATGTTACCACTCTGTATCTTCAAAATTAAATCTTCCACCCTGTATATACAACTTACGACGATACATACATTTTTGAAAGTTGGCAACCATGTAATTTGAAGGTGGGAAAAAGCTGCCTGCGCCATCTAAAAAGCACGGACGGGGGTTACGTTTGGCATCTTTTCTTGAATGGCGGTTGTGAACGCTCGCTCCATAAATGTTTGTTGTTATTTTGTGTTTTTTTAATGCAGGCAGTAATCTTCGCATTACTTTATATCGTATTTGTGTTTTGCATGCCACATTTTATATTTTGTGTGTGTTTGAATCTTTGTTTCTGAAATTTACTTCGTTTAACCGCAATGCTTAATCACTTGTGTGATACCGTTATGCTATTGTTTGTAATTGTTTGCGTTTTTGGTGTAATGTTTGCTTAATTTATGTTTATTGATGTTGATTACTTGGTCTTGTCCCTGAAGTAACATTCATATAAGTTTTGATCATTTTATTTTAATATGTGGAAATTGCCGATTCGTTTGATGTATGTACTGACTTGTTGTTTGTAATTAACATTTTCTCCGTGAATGAAGCAGTCACGGGGGTGGTAAAAACTGTAGTCAAAATTGAGCTACGACACCTATTCCGTGATTGTCTACAACATTCAACTATAGGCTCGAAATCCCGAAACCAGGGGCGGGTGACCCATCTTGCAGGAGCGGGATTACGCTAATCAAAGCTCTTCAGTTTAGAATCTATGTGCGATAAATGAGTGGCGATTCAATAATTTCCACATATCTTGTTTTTAGTTAAATTTGCCTACAAGGCCATGTAATTTTCCAACTTGCTTTTAACAAAAGGACTTTATTGCACCAAAGATAAGTCACATCCTGTGTATTTCACCCTTTCTTAGGACCCATAATTCCCAAAACTTCCTCTTAAAGTTAACCTGCTACTTTTTGTGATGTTATTATTTTATGTTACGCATTCATATCATTACAAACAATTAATTTTGCTACACAATTTAATATTAATTTGGCGGCTAGTATTTTTTTATTGGTAAGTTCTTTTTTTCCCAGCCTATTTCTATTTTTATTCGGTGAACTACCATTTTCAATGTTTATTTTTGCGATGTAATTTATTTCGACTTAAATTTCGGACCTTTTACAATGATAATAATTACGACTTTTCACAATTTGAGTGTTTTATTTTACGTTCCTTCTCTACTGTGCTTCAGGTCAAAGCGTTGTTTACAACTAACGTAAAGAGGCCCTGCCTTAAATATATTATCACGTGCCACTTTTCAAATTTAAGCGGGATCATGTTTACTTTTGGAGGGAGTCATTTGGGTGGCCATTTTTAAACGTTGCCGGGTTGACTTTATTTCCAAGTTCTTGCGTAGTGTGAAGTTAGCGTAGAACCTGGTGGGTTAAGTACGCTACAACTTTTAGGACATAAATTCATAGGAAGCTTTCTTAAAATGGGCCCAAGAATCACCCCCTTAAATATTAGCATGTCTTTAAGGAACACTGGCCAGTCTCTATTTTTAAGCGTACTTTATCCTTGGAACCTTTGGGGGATACACAAATCTTGGTAAGGGAGCGACAGATCTCCCAAGGCAACAAAAGTGTACAAAGTTATCAGCAGGACACAAAGCCTTTTAAAATCTTTTATATCATTTTTTTTGGTCTTAATACATAACTATAATTTACAAACTAAAGTAACTAAACCTAAACGCCTCGCCAGTTGGTGAACTAAAATGAGACACAAATCACGTAATAAAAGAAACGTAATTTACAAATGACTACCGAAAACAAACTTTTCTTTACATTATAATTTTACAGAAGCATAGTCGATAATTTTTAATATATTAGAATAAATAAACTCAATTGTCCGCCTGGCCGTAAACGTTCTCGTCTGAATATGCAATGTACAAAAAAGAGTCCTCCTCGTGATGTTCCTAAAAAGAGCAAGTGACGTCACGATTAACCGCAATCACCGCAAATTACCTGGTATAGAGCGGCCATTGTGGCCGACGTCGGCGGAATTACGTTGTTTACGAAGAAGAACAGCGCGTCCTCGGGTCGAAGGTGAATCCGCTTGCGGATCAGGAAATAGAACTGGCCGACGGTCAGATCGGACGGCACTAAGTACTTCTTCTTATCCAAATCGCCGATGCGTGCCTTGGGGGCCTTCTCCACAATCACCTACATGAAAGAAGTGAAATTAATGACCTTGAAATTGGACATAAAGAACACAAAAATAGCAAATTAGGTTACCTACTCATAGGTAAAGTGTATAAATAAACCATCTGGATATGTAAACGTAGTATGACAAGTAGTTATTTGTTGACATTTTTGGTATGATTAATAAGTTGCACTTACAGGTACCCTATCCGGATATTTTCGCCTAATTTTTTCACCTTCGGCTTTCCTCTTCTCGAACGGGTGCTCCTCCTTGTATTGAAACTTCATTTTCAATCGGGAAATTACCAAAATTTTGCGTTTCTAATTGCAAAAGGAATTCTAGGTTTTGCGTTTTTGTTCTTTTTATGCAATGACACAAATACACAAAAACAATCGATGAAGCACAACACACTACGTGAGTCTTTCGCTCCTTTTTAATTCCAAAATCGTACTATTTACGATATTTCGATGTCAACCTTTCTAGAGTAACATTTTTCAGGTAATTTGCTCGTACAACGCGCTAATAAACTAAAAATGAAAACCAGTTTAAACTTTTCAGTAATTCAGTTGACTCATATTGCACCACTTTTTGCAAGACGTCACATTTATCCGACATACAGGGTGTACCAGTAAAAATAATAATGCATGCTTTTGTCTCTCTTTTTCTCAACTATTCTTGTACCGATCTCACTCTTATATTACTGTTGTACAGGGTGATCATAAATGATTGTAAACTTTTAATTTGTTTTTTCTGCTTAAGGCATTTCCCCCAACAGTAAACGCAATCATAAACCAAACAGCTCCTTTCAAACTTTTTGCAAGTGGAATATTTTGTAAAGGTACGTTCATAAACCTTACTTTTTAGACTCCAGCGGATGGCTTTTATTTAACGCGCTCAACTAAAAAGCGCTACAGGTTTACTCAACCTTCATTAGTGGAGGTTGTCGATGAGAACCTGTGGAGCAGAGTCTTCCCTAGTTATATCATAACCCGGTAGAGGTGCAACAATACGAACGATAACATTCTATTTGTTATTATTACAGGTTTATGGTATGGCACGTGGTCCAAACTTTCCACGAACGGTTTCGAATGTTGCTATATATCTTTATATTTAGCTTTTCTGACGGAGAAGAGTTCATTTATCAGGATACGTCAATAGTCCAAACGTCGCAATGTCAAGAGATACTTATTTTGTTATCTTTTTCTTGGCATCTTACAGTTTTGTCACTTTTTGTTTTTTGATTGTGTTTAATTACCAAATTTAAAGGAGGCGACTACACTTTCTTAGTGGGCACAGGAACAGGAGATTTAATAGCAATAATTTGGCAATGCATAAGTGGATGTAAATTCTATAATAAGTAACGACTAATCACAACGAATAAATGGACGTACGCGACTTAAGCGTAGACTTTCTTCGATGATAAAAAATGCGTACGGTCAGAAGGATTTAGATAGCTTAGACTGCGATAAAACCCGACGTAAGTCTTAAATTTTGCGTTGGTTCCGTTTCAGATTTTTAGCACGACAACAGGGCCACTATAAATTATCGCGTCGAGCAGAACAAAAAATACTGGAAATTCTCGACGAAATTGGTTTTTTAACAAAATTCGTGATAATTCTACAAAGAAGAATCAACCGTTTTAAGGTTGTGTGTTATTTCAAATCCACAACATGCTGTTCAAGCGAATTGCATTTGGTGAGGTTTGCACGTTAATTACGGGAAATGCATCCATACAAAAACTTCTACCTAAGTAGATTCTTTGGCGGGGACCGCAAGAACAATAAATGCAACACTTTTCGACACAGCGCGTTTCTTAATGAACTTTGATCGCAAGTGATAACATATCTATTGATATCTTCGACCTGGTAGTAGGCTGAGACTTAGTAAAAGACGATGCGATAATGTTCCCAAAATTTGTTGCAGGAGTTCTGAGGACTAAACGTTTTATGGGGGAGAACATAGTAACGAGTACCCCAGTATACACTGCACTGCGATTGCTATTTTTTAAAAAGTCTCATGAGGATTCGGTACTCCTTTCTCTCTTACCCCTAGAACTCTCATGGTAACATTTGGAAAAATAATAATGTAATCTTCGTTTTCTTGGAGGGGGCGAGGTATTCCATATCCCCCAGACCCCTCGGTGTGTAACGTTCTCAGCCGACTACTTATAGTAGAAGCTGATTTGATAACCTTCCCAACAACTATTACAAAAGTTCTGAGGATTAAAGGTTTTCTGGGGGAGAACATAGTAGCGGGGGTCTATGCTCATTTTCAAAACAGTCTCTGGACTACCCCTACCAAATGGGGGTTCAATAGTTCTTTCCATTTTACTCCTAGCACTCTCATAGTACCCTTTGAAAAAATTAATCAAATTTTTATTTATTGGGGGGGGGGGGGTTCCATACTTGCCGAAAGCTGTATGACTTCCAGGTCCATAATTACCCATAAAATTCATTTCCATATTTTCAAAATTTCAATAAAAAATCCTGTTCATAACAAGCGCGTGTTACCCATCCTTTTTGATAGATGGAGTGCTTTAGAATATTTCAGTGGCAACTGTCAACAAATGTCAAATATTACATCAGTGTCGGTTGATTTCAAATGATGATTTTGATTTTCCGGCCAATGTTTTCAAAATGATGTTCGTTTTAAACCCCTGAGAGGTTCCACCCTGTATATACAATTTACGACGATGGACACATTTTTGAGAGTTGGCAACGACACAATTTTTAGGTGGGGAAAGCTGTTTGCGCCATCTGGAGAGCACGAAAGTTGGTTGCGTTTGGCATCTTGTTTTTAATGGCGGTCATGAAAGCATCGATCGTGATAGTTTGTTGTTATTTTTGTGTTATTTAATGCAGGTAGTAATATTTGCATTTCTTTACGTCGCATGTGTTTTGTATTTTATTGTATTTTATATTTTTTGTGTTTCAATCTTTGTTTTTGACTTGATTTAACCTTAATGCAGAATCACATATTTGATACCGTTATCCTTTTGTTTGGAATTGTTTACGTTTTTGGTGTAATGCTTGCTTAATTTATGTTTATTGTTAGTAATCTTGCGTAAATATGCATATTGCTGCATTCTTGTAAGTCATTACGTTTGGAATGTTATTGTTCAGTAATGACGACCCGTTTTGGGTTTTACCGTTTACCTGTTAAGGGGTAAGATTATGCATTGGTAACCACTTGAAATCATTCTGTGACGATACGTAATGTAGTCAACATCAATACAGTCCACTATTTGTAATAAAGTATTATATTTGAATATTTAAATTATTTACTTACCCGAGTGAAAATAAAGTCGAAACAAAAACATTGGTCCTTCGAGCCGGATCGCGATTATTCTAGTGCATCACGCGCGAAAATATCGATTATTTATTATAACTTTTCTGTGGTGCCTTGAAAAGTTATAATAAATAATCGATATTTTCGCGCGTGATGCACTAGAATAATCGCGATCCGGCTCGAAGGACCAATGTTTTTGTTTCGACTTTATTTTCACTCGGGTAAGTAAATAATTTAAATATTCAAATATAATACTTTATTACAAATAGTGGACTGTATTGATGTTGACTACATTACGTATCGTCACAGAATGATTTCAAGTGGTTACCAATGCATAATCTTACCCCTTAACAGGTAAACGGTAAAACCCAAAACGGGTCGTCATTACTGAACAATAACATTCCAAACGTAATGACTTACAAGAATGCAGCAATATGCATATTTACGCAAGATTACTAACATTTATTGATGTTGATTACTTGGTCTTGTCCCTGAAGCAACATATTCATATAAATTTTCATCATTTTATTTTAATATGTGGAAATTACCGATTCGTTTGATGTATGTAGGTACTAACTTGTTGTTTGTAACTAACATTTTATCCGTGAATGAAGCAGGTTACGACACCTAATTCCGTGATTTTCTTCGACTTTCAACTGTAGGTACAAAACCACGAAACCAGGGGCGAGTTATCTATCTTGCCGGAACAAAATTACGCTAAAAAAAACTCTTCGGTTTAGAATCCATGTGCGATATATGAGTTGCGATTCAATAACTGTTTTTAACCTTGAGTGTAATCAACATTGTGCTTTGCTTACACGAGCTTTCACAATCTTAATAATAACGATCATTAACAAACTTTTTACAATTTCAGTGTTTTATTTTACGTTCCTTCCCTACTGTGGTCAAAGCGTTGTTTACAACTAACGTAAGGGGGCCCTGCCTTAGATGTATGATCACGTGCCACTTTTCAAATTGAAACGGGATCTTGTTTAGTTTTGGAGGGGTGTTCTTGTAGTGTGAAGTTAGCGTAGAACCTGGAAGTTAAGTACACTACATCACATAAAATGATAAGTTGCGCACCTGTCCTACTTACAGTGACTTTATAAGGACAGTGGCGACAACTTATCATAATCCGCCATATTGGAGCTAAAAAATTGATTGTAAGATCAATATACCTTGTCATGTCAAATTGTGAGCGTAGAATAATAAATGTCAGTTTCATTTAAGTAAAGATTCTTGTTCAAAACGAACGGCGCAGAAATGATCGTTTAAAGCTTTGCAGAACAACCTATGGGAAAACAAATGCCTCCCAAATTCAAAATGGTATGGGTATATGGAAAACGGTATAATAAGTATGACATATGGTGCAATATCCAAAATGTACATATAAATAATCATTAAATTGTGTTTGACATTTCAGTGTCTTCTGTCACTTCTTGTCCCCTGTCGCGTGTTGCTCCTTCCAGACTTAAAAGTATTTCTTTAGTCTCTTAAATGGAAGACAAAACACGTTGATCTAGTCCACGGAGTACAAGAGATCAATATTCCATGTGCTCCAGCAAACATGAAACCAATTCAAGCGTATTTACGATCACAATTGAATTTGCTGCTAAATTTCGGATAAGCTGCTTCTCTAACCAGTTTTCTATCTAAACTCATTAGGTATTTAGGGCTTCTGAAAAAAATTTTACATCAATTACCAGTCGTAAGGTTAGGCACAGTTTTACATCTAAAAACACTAAGCGGATTACATACCTTATAATATCGTAATAAATCCAAACTATATGCGTCTTTAAAAATCGAGTTTATATAAAACTGGAGACGGAAAACGTAAAATAAAGCAAATACAAGAAGCAAAGTGTAAACTAGTAACATGAAGCCGTGACAATTACAGGTGACACTGTCAAAACAGTATAATTAATAATTATAGCACGGAGTGTACCGCGTCGTTTTGAAGGTTTTCTATTGGCCAGTTTGGAATTTAGCTCCAATATGGCGACCGGAACCAACGACCAATCAAAAACGAGATACCCTGTTGTCGCCACTGTCTCTATAAAGTCACTGTAGTCCTACTTACCTTCAGATCCCCCCCCCCCCCCCTACATTTGTACACTGTAAGCAAATGATTCGGAGGTTCTTCGGGTCAGTTCCTTCCGTTATCTTTCTTTTGTTTTGCCTTTCTTCTTCGATCTTTTTTGAATTAATCGGCATCTTTTGAGCTCCTATAACATCTTCGACTTCACCAATCGCATGTTCACTCTGTGATTAATAATTATCTATCCAGGCTCGTGGCAGCATTGGGTTTATACTTACTCTTGGAGTCATCTTTATTATCTTGGTCGGTATTTTCCACATCTAGAACGATATCATATTTCGTGAAATCTACTTTTATCAAGTGAGCTGTACTCGTAATAATAAAATACTCGTTTAAAAAATTGCAAAACAAACGAACATAACAATTGCAATCGCAATTGCACTTGATACTAAATTGAAACGGTATCTGTTTGTTCGAGACACAAGCTTTTCGAATTTTATTTTCGTATGGCGCACGCCGATTGGATGAGTTCGTAGATGAGCAACTACTTCATTTGTTATTTTATGATTTATTTAATTTTTTACAATCAATGTATAACTAACACAAACGTATTTTGTGTGAAAGGCGGTATCCGTGGGCTTCTTATTAGCTGTCGCAACACTTTTTATGCAACGAACTCGATTGACAGCTGCCACTGAAAAGCAAGAAGGAATAGTCAATTAAATTATTCAACAATTTGTGCTAGTAAAAACAGTGATCGTATTATTAGTGCGATACGAAGCTGGTGTCAAGAATATCTGGACTAGAGAAAAAGAAGTGCTTACCATCTTTGTTTATCTGGAGGACAGCTCATGAAGTGGCAGTCACAGTTGACGGTGCAATCTCCCGCTACCATTCCCACTAATACCATTACTAGAACAGTCACGATCAGTAGCTTAATCATTTTGAATTCTGTATACATTTCACGACAGAAACGCCACGCTTTTATAGCACATTCAAGAGGCGGACTTTTATCGAATTTCGTTCATCGCAGATTACCTATCTTACCTGGTTTCCGCTGCAACTTAAGTGTTTGTTACTAAAATACGTTTTATTTTTTTAGGAGCAGATTTAGAAGCAAAGCTTCAATAATGACAAAGTTAATAGAAACAGGCACTTAATTTTCTTTGGTATAGAAGATCTATGTGCAAATTTGCAGCTTTGCAACTTTTGGAGACGTACTTCCGCGGTGTAGAATGTTACACCCTATATAAATTTTTCAAGGGCCGAGGAAAAGCTTTGAGGAAGATCGCGGCTTCGCGGTATCGATTATGATGTCCACTTCGGCCTTGTGCGTGAGAGGTTCCACTCTGTATATACAACTTACGACGATGCACACATTTTTGAGAGTTGACAACCATGCAATTTCTAGGTGGAAAAAAGTTTCCTGCGCCATCTAAAAAGCCCGGTCGGGTTACGTTTTGGCATCTTGTCTTGAATGGCGGTCGTGAACGCGTCGTTCCATAAATGTTTGTTGTTATTTTGTGTTTTTTAATGCAGGTAGTAATTTTTGTATTTATTTATATCGTATTTGTGTTTTGTATGCCGCATTTCATATTTTTTGTGTGTTTGAATCTTTGTTTTTGAAATTTACTTACTTCAACCGCAATGCAAAATCACTTGTTTAATACCGTTACCCTTTTGTTTGCAATTGTTTAAGTTTTTGGTGTAATGCCTTTAGTGTAATGCTTGCTTAGTTTATGTTTATTGATGTTGATTACTTGGTCTTGTCCCTGAAGTAACATTCATATAAATATTGTACTGATCTTAACCCACCCCCAGGCTCGAAATGGAAATGACAGATTTCACGGAAAAGTGGCAACGTTGCAATCCCAGTATCAAAACACGGTTCCCGCCTAAAATTCAAACAAAAGAATGGCACGTGATTGGATCGTCTACGGTAGGGCCCCCTTACGTTACACGAAGCTAATACAATGACTCGGGATCCAGTCGGGCAGGAATACTCAAATAAAACACTGTAATGTCTGCGAGTTTATTTATTATAAACTTATTCTGAAAACCCGGGAATTTGGATGTGGTACATTAAAAGTAAAGCAAGCAAAACCGAAAGGTGCCGCACTCTCGCAAAAGCAGACTACCAAGGCGAAAAAGAGCGCGACTTGAGAAAAACCTTGGCCGTGAATAAAACCCAAACTATGTTAATCACAAGCAAATTAAAACACCAACCACCTAAGCAGGACATGTAACACTACCTTAATTAATGAATGAATTCAAGTAGCAGGGTACGTTTGAACAGTATGCGTAGGGTATTCGTCACAACATGTCATGTACTTTCCTTTAATCGCGGCTAGAAGGTAACTCACTTTTTAGTTAGTCATTGGGTGGTGAAACTGGTTATTTGTTAGGTTAGGGCCAGCGTCTTAGCTTGATTGCCCTCCTGTTTCACGGTTATATTGTTAGGAATTGGGCCGGCATATTTGCCTATTAACCCGTAGCGCAGTTAAGATTGTTAGGGGCAACACATTCACGCATTTATTGATATAAGTCACCTTACTAGTTATTCGTATCATTGTATATCGAATAGAGTGGTGTGAAGTTTGTAAAAACACGTCTGATCTATTATTCACGTTGTGACGTAACAATAGGCAGTTATGACCATACTCAGTGTGCCTGTGGGGCCCTCAATTATGCTCAGTTTCCACACAATGACATTGGTATAAAACCCAGACTTCCGGAACTACTACATGTGCTTCGTAACACTCCCCGGACATCGGTCTCGTAACGACACAAAACTGAAGGTGGTTAAGAGATGGGGCGCCGCCCATGTGTAGGATGGTCTTTGTTACAGCACTTCATCCCTAGAGTTGGAGGTTCGAGGGCCCTCGGTTCCTTTTATGCCTTAGCTCTAGAACACCTTTCTATTCTAGCGTCCGAGCTCCCTCTCACGGTAGAAAGATATTAGTTACATACAACAAGGCACACACATTCGCGAGTGTTACGAGTCACCCTAAACTAAATACACCTAGCATTGCATGCCCTACTTCACGGAAGTCGAGGTTTGACATAGGTTCACCCCGTGCAACGTGTAACTGAGTAAACGTGGTCTAAACCTGAGATATTGCAGCCTTCCACAAGCACATGGATATTAGTTAGCACCTCGCATGTTGTAAATTACATATTAGCACAATGGTAGATGGAAAATTTCTGATATAACAAATGGCACAATTCATATAAGTACATAAGAGTAAACTACATAAAATACTTTACCCGACACGAAAGTGGTTGAACTCACAAACACCAAAAACAAAGCTAAACTCTATGAATACAACTCAAAATACAACAAAGCCCACCACCAACAAGCTTTAACAAACAACAAGTGATGATGTGACGCCAAGCACTCTAAAAACCTCAAACATCCTCCGGGAGCTACCAAAAAAATATCGACAGGTGGTGATGGCGGTGGCTCATGTCCCCAGAATCTCCAACTACTTGACCGGTTGCATCCGACGTTGAAATATACAAGGTATTTAAAGGGATATAGACATCTCAGTATTGATCATTTTATTTTAATATGTGGAAATTACCGATTCGTTTGATGTTTGTTTGTAACTAACATGTTCTCCGTTAATGAAGCAGTCACGGGGGGTGGTAAGTCAAAATTGAGCTACGACACCTAATTTCGTGATTGTCTTCGACTTTCAACTGTAGGCTCGAAACCAGCGGGTTACCTATCTTGTAGGAGCGGGATTACGCCAATCAAAGCTTTTCAGTTTAGAATCTATGTGTGATAAATGAGTTGTAATGATCTTAAGGGGTCAACTAACTTCACTCCGAACACTAAATTCAAATACGGCGGGAAAATACTAAAAGGATATGGCTACCATGTCCAGCCTTCTCCTCTGCCGGAACAAATGGCTCGTGATCGGATCGCCTAGGACAGAGACCCTACAGTTTACTCACCCGTCAAGTTGTAACCGTTACACTCGGAATGGGGGGCTGCTATCGGGAAGGAAAAGAAACAGTCAAATGCGGCCTAAAGTATTTATTGTTACCCAAACAGATTCCCTAATAATTTGGAAATGCAGAAGTCCCTAACGAGTAGGCCTGTGCGAGGGAAGACCTCTGCCAGAGAAACCCTCGACTCGTGTTCGTAGAAGCTAAAGGGGTTGACGTTAATAAACAAGCTAACACGGGGTTTCCTGAAATATAATACGATACTCTTAACAGTACTTGGTAAATAGTAGTCATTACGGCGATATAAAATAGTCATTATTGGAACAACGGATTGGAACAATACCAGGGGAATAAACTCTTCTAGCTGGCTTAGTCGGTACAACATGAAATAGCAATGACATCCAAACTCGTGTTCCCAAGCGTCAATTATCTCACGATTATACACAAACTCGGTCACACACACCTTTCAGAAACGGAAGACTGTTAATTATAGTTCCACCCCTGGAACAGGTAACAAGACTGCTCTGGGTTTGCGAGTACAACTTGCCTAAAGCTGAAGGTTCGAAACTAGAGTCGCTTGCCTTGTGGTTTTCTTGCAATTTTATAATTTGATTCGCCGATGGACTCTAGTTTCTCACGGTCGAAAGATTAGTGTCCTCTCATAAATGGTCATTGCACACGTAGAAAATCAACGCTTCTACTCTACAACTAAGCTACTCAACAACTGTGAACACGAATCTGAATAGTCATATAGGCGCCTTCCAAGTTAACATAATAAACACAAATCCGAAACTTCCCCAGCTAGAGGGTCGCTTTCCCCATAACATTTTGGCAAGATATTTAACACCAGGCATCCCCTTACAAACAAAGTACAAAATTGGCAGTTATGTGAATATTCGGATTGAAGTACAAATTGGAAAATGATATTATAAATATGAGGGAACACAATTTACATTACATGCAATTAATGAATTAACAAAAACCAATTACATCACCTGATATGAACTCTCGAATTGTAAACTACGGGAACGAAACTCTCTCGAAGGTAGTCAGCAAGCAAGTCCTTCTTCCCATTCCAAAAAGGCGCCGAACTTCCTTTCAACAAATAAAAACCCTCTTCACCCCTGAGTCGGAAACTAACCCACCCCGGAATGGAAATTTCCATCCTATCTAACAGTAAATCCGGCTGTTGTTATTTAGTATCCCTCTTTTCAAAAACCAGGTAGGTACCTAACCCCAATTGATTACAAAAACATTCAAATTCTAAAAATAAAATTCTAGGTATTTTGGTAGTGGCTCCGCTACCGGGAAGGACGGCAGTGTCTGGCTTCTTTGGTTGCGTTCGTAGATTTTGTTTTTGATGTTAAGTATCCAGCCTTTGTCATAAAGGTATGCCCATCTCAGAGTTACGATTCGTAATTTCCACATATTTCGTCTTTAGTTGAATTTGCCTACAAAGCCATGCAATTTTCCATCTTGCTCTTAACAAAAGGACTTTATTGAGATGTCTATATCTCTTTAAATACCCTGTATATTTCAACGTCGGATGCAACCGGTCAAGTAGTTGGAGATTCTGGGGACATGAGCCACCGCCATCACCACCTGTCGGTATTTTTTGTATTTTCCGGAGGATGTTTTGGATTTGGGGGCTTGGCGTCACTTGTTGATTGTTAAAGCTTGTTGGTGGTGGGATTATTGCATTTTGAGTTGTATTCATAGAGTTTAGCTTTGTTTTTGTATTTGTGCGTAAGATTTAACCACTTTGCTGTCGGGTAAAGTATTTTATGTAGTTTACTGTTATGTACGTATATGAATTGTACCATTTGTTATATCAGATATTTTCCAACTACCATTGTGCTAATATGTAATTTACAACATGCGAGGTGTTAACTAATATCCATGTGCTTGTGGAAGTCTACGATATCTCAGGTTTAGACTAAGTTTAACCATTGAATAAAAACACTATAAGAAGCCTAACCCCGTGGAAATAAAGCGCGACAGAGTTTGAACTGAGAATATAATGGGAACACTGTCAATAGAGTAGTCGATTCTTGAACTGAGAAGAATGAGAATTTGCTTTCCTCCTATTTACCGCAAAGAGAGTTCGGGGGTCACAACCAATGCGGGTGCAAGGGGATTTGTGAGATTTGTCGCGCTTTCTTCCATAAGCGTTAGGCTTCTTATAGTGTTTTTATTCAATGGTTTAACTCAGTTACCAGGTGTACGGGTGTGTACCTATGTAGAACCTCGACTTCCGTGAAGTAGGTCATGCAATGCTAGGTATATTTAGGTTAGGGTGATTCGTAACATTCGCGAATGTGTATGTATGTAACTCATATCTTCCTACCGTGAAAGGGAGCTCGGACGCTAGAATAGAAAGGTATTCTAGAGCTAAGGCACGAACGGATCCGAGGGCCCTCGAACCTCCAACTTTAGGGACGAAGTGCTTCTAACCGAAGGTCGTCCTACCCATGGGCGGCGACCCATCTCTTAACCATCTTCAGTTTTGTGTCGTTACGTGACCCATGTCAGGGGAGTGTTACGAAGCACAGGTAGTAGTTCCGGAAGTCTGGGGTTTATACCAATGTCATTATGTAGAAACTGAACATAATTGGGGACTTCTACATACGTACACACCCGTGAATCGTGTAACTGAGTTCAACGTGGTCTAAACCTGAGATATCGCAGACTTCCATAAGCACATGGATATTAACTAACACATCGCATGTTGTAAATTACATATTAGCACAATGGTAGATGGAAAGTATCTGTTATAACAAATGGCACAATTCATATAGGTACATGAGTAAACTACGTAAAATACTTTACCCGACACCAAAGTGGTTGAATCTTACGCACAAACACAAAAACAAAGCTAAACTTTATGAATACAACTCAAAATGCAACGATCCCACCACCAACAAGCTTTAACAATCAACAAGTGACGCCAAGCCCCCAAATCACAAAAATCCTCCGGAAATTACGAAAAAAATATCGACAGGTGGTGATGGCGGTGGCTCATGTCCCCAGAATCTCCAACCACATGACCGGATGCATCCGACGTTGAAATATACAGGGTATTTATAAAGGGGTATTCGCAATAGCACACATCAAGAGAGAGCGCTGTGTATGGCCGCTTGTTTGAGGACAGCTGATTCATTTGTGTATGGATCACATAAGAGATCAGTTGTATTTTACAAACCTTTTGTTTTCGAAATATGCACATTATCAGTATTAGTGACTTATTAACGTATGTGGGTGTTGGCATTCGACCTTTGAAGGAAGGCGAGGCAGTGTTAGAAGCTAAACACATAATATTATGTGGTAAACAAAATGCTAGAAACCGAAAACTTAATCCTAATTTAATTTTCATTAAAGTCAACAAAATCCTCTTGCGAACACAGAATGTATAGTTCCTATTACTTGTTGCAAACTGTACACTTAAAGTATTTGCGATTACGTTGAACAACGTCACATTGGAAATTCCTGTGCAGAATTTAATTCTGTAGTCATTGTTGATAATGTCTGCAATGCTAAACTCACGCTGATCTAAATACGTATTTACTTGAACAGAAACGTCCTTATACAACACATTCAAAGAACTTTCAGTCTCATAACACATTTCATTAACCGGCTCTTCTTCTTTAGTTTGCGTGTTTGCCTCGGTGTTTGCTAATAAAAGAAGCGTGTCGGCTGCTTCCAAACGCACAGATTTTTCTAACAGTTGTTGTCGACGGACGTAGCGGTCTTCACGTTTTGCCTTAGCTTTATGATTAACTGCCGATTGATGCCGTATTTGAGGTAAATTTCTGCTAGGACAGACAGTCTTCTTTAAACATTTACGTTTATGTGCAACGTCTAAAAAAGTAAAATTCATAAAGAAGCACATCATCAAATTACTGCGCTTACCTGGTAAAATATAATCCTCTTTTGTAAAGTGAGCACTACAAACTTTCATTGTATTTGTTATGGGGGGAATCCGTGCATTGAGACACTGCACGCATAATCATTTCTACACTGAGGAACTGAGCAATAATGATTACTTTTTGTTATTTTTGTGTATTCACGTTTATTACATACGTGAACGTCCATTTTTATCCTCAAACAGATAGTTCTAAAGTTGACCGCTAAGCGGAGACTCTAAGTGTGCGCTTGCGAATAGCCAACTCTACTTGTAGTAGCTAACAATTTGAATTACGCGCCATTAGCTATTTTTGTTGATGCGTTTCATGTGAAGTTATAAGCTTATACGTTGACTATCTTCAGAGAGGTTGTAAACAAAAGAAGCACCAACGTTCTTTTTATTAAACACTTTTCAAGTACCTACTGGTTACTGGAAATTGGCAAGCAGACCCTTACAAATAAAGTATTTAAGTACGTCGCGAGTGTTTGAGTGAACATATTTTTGTATCTTCCCCAGTATTTGCGTTAGTAAGTAATTGCATTGGTTGAGGTAAATAGTATGCTTTTATTTAAAAAGGTTACAGTTATGGATGTCAACTTTGCACTTGTTAAAATTGAACCAGAACAAGAAGAAGAAATAAATGTTTGCCTGGAAAGGAACGTTCTTGTAAGCAATGACCTTTCGGTCACTATAACGGAAGAAGATGATGAGATTACGACGAGATCAGAGTGCTGTAACGATAAATACAATGGGGAAGAAGTTTTATCAAGTATTAAATCTCAAACTGTTACATTTAAATGTAACGTTTGTGATTATACGACTGATAATGAACCACATTTTAAAGTACACATGTCGACGCACGATTTTAAATGTGCACATTGTAACTATACAACTAATACTAAAAACAAATTGAGGCCACATTTGCTAAATCACAATGTTTCAAAAGTTTTTAAATGTGATACTTGTCATTATGCCACAAATACTAAAGATAAATTGAGGCGTCATTGCCGTACACACAACGTTCTAAAACAGTTTAAATGCGTTAGTTGTGATTTTTCTACGAATACTAAGAAGAATTTATGGAACCATTGTCGAAAACACAATGCTTCCGAACTGTTTAAATGTGACGTTTGTAATTATACTACGTATACTAAACCCAATTTTAAATATCATCTCTCAACGCACAATGATTCGAAAGATTTTAAATGTGATATTTGTCATTATACAACAAATGCTAGGGAGAAATTGAAGAGTCATTTGGTAAGACACGATGTTTCAAAAGTTTTTAAATGTGGCACTTGTCATTACGCCACAAATAATAAAGGCAATATAAAATTGCATCTCTTATCACACAGTGAGTCGAAAGATTTTAAATGTGATCTCTGTCAATACACCACAAATACCAAGGACAATTTGAAGCGACATTCGTTATTACACAATGATTCCAGAGATTTTAAATGTGGCATTTGTGATTACGAAACAAATACTAAGTCGAAGCTGAGACGACATATCCCAAAACACAATTCGTCGAAAGAGTTTAAATGTGATACTTGTGGTTATGCAACACATTTGAAGTCCATTTTGAACATGCATCTTGTAACCCACAATGATTCAAGAGATTATAAATGCGGTATTTGTGATTATGCAACAAATATTAAGACCAATTTGAAACAACATTCCTTAGTGCACAATAATTCGAAAGATTTTAAATGTGACGTGTGCAATGTTGCAACAAAAACTAAGCATAGTTTGAAACGACACTCCCTAATACACAAGGTTTTGAAAAATTCTAAACGGAGCTGAACAAATGTATTTTTGATCAGTGCGCCTTGAAGTATACCGATACATTTTTTACAGATATTCCGTAAACTATGATTTAAATTTAAGGCCTTTATCTTAGTTATGTAATTTATATTAGACTACCTCGAATAATTTACTATCCCGTAGTTACTCATTACCTTAATAATAAGTTTATTTCTTTAAAAGTATTGTATCATTTAAAATTAAAATATAAATAAGTGCTTGGTATGTTAATATTATATAGAATCTGTCTTGAATGGCCAATCAGATCTTATGGCAAATCCTTATTCTGATTTTGATTGTTCATTTTGGACTTCACACTACAAGAACACGGAAATAAAGTCAACATGGCAACGTTTAAAAATGGCCACCCGAATGATCCCGCTGAAATTTGAAAAGTGGCACGTGATCAAACATCTAATGCAGGGCCCCCTTACGTTAGTTGTAGACAACTATAATATGTATAATGATGTGAATGCGTAACATAAAATTATAACATCACAAAAAGTAGCATGTAGACTTCAAGAGGTAACAAACAGGTTAAAAAGAAATTTTGGGAATTATGGGTCAGGTAAGCAGGTACCAAGATTCTAAGAAAGGGTGAAATACACAGGATGTGACTCATCTTTGGTGCAATAAAGTCCTTTTGTTAAAAGCAAGATGGAAAATTACATGACCTTGTAGGCAAATTTAACTAAGAACAAGATATGTGGAAATTATTGAATCGCCACTCATTTATCGCATATAGATTCTAAACTGAAGACCTTTGATTAGCGTAATCCCGCTCCTGCAAGATAGGTAGCTCGCCCCTGGTTTCGGGGTTTCGAGCCTACAGTTGAAAGTCGAAGACAATCATGGAATTAGGTATCGTCGCTCAATTTTGACTACAGTTTTTACCACCCCCGTGACTGCTAAATTCACGGAGAAAATTGTTAGTAAAAAACAACATCAAACGAATCGGTAATTTCCACATATTAAAATAAAATGATCATAATTTATATGACTATAACTTCTCGGACAAGATCAAGTAATCAACACCAAAAACGTAAACAATTACAAACAATAGCATAACGGTATCACATACGTGATTTTGCATTGCGGTTAAATCAAGTAAATTTCAAAAACAAAGTTTGAAACACACAACCAATATAAAATGCGGCATACAAAACACAAATACGATATAAAGAAATGCAAAAATTACTACCTGCATTAAGTAACACAAAATAACAACAAACATTTACGGAGCGACGCGTTCACGACCGCCATTCAAGACGAGATGCCCAAGGTAATCCCCGTCCGTGCTTTTTTAGATGGCGCAGACAGTTTTTTGGCATTTTCCCATTTCCCACCTAGAAATTGCATGGTTGCCAACTCTCAAAAATGTATGTATCGTCGTAAGTTGTATGTATATACAGGGTGAAACCTCTCATTTGGAAAGCAAATTCAACGAAAACAACAAAATATGTGGAAATTATTGAATCGCAACTTATATCGCATATAGATTCAAAACCGAAGAGTTTCTGTTAGCAGGGTCCCACACCTGGGATGCGTAACTTTGGCCCTAGTTCGACGATTCTAAGACGAAAAGTTTACATAAACAATAAGTTCATGCACATGCCAAGAAATGTATACAAGAAATATAAATTGAACAAACATTTACACCAAAAATGGAAACAATGAACATTAATGGCATTTTTCATACACGCGGTTTCCCAACAAAGATTGAAAATTGTAAAGAATATAAAGTGCTAAATACAGAACAGCGATAAATTTTAAAGAAATGCAATGATTACTAGCTGCATTAAATAACACAAAGGAACCTACACGATGCTCCCTTGACGACTGCTCAAGATGACTGTAATGTAAACAACGTTGGTGCCCTTGAGACGGCCCAAACAGATCTTCCCTTCTAAAAAGTTGAGCGTGATGCACAGAAAAAAAAATCCGATTACTTTTTTAAATAATTTATTTTATTATTTTGTTTATTTATGTTGAAAACCGAAACCGAACCAGTACCGGAACCCTTATAAAATAAACCTAAATAGTGCGGAACCTATATTTCATATTGCACCGGTAGCTTGGTAGGTGGGTTGGGTTGTGAAATAAGATGGCAGGACGAGTTGGCTTTATTTTTGATTTTACAAACTAAAAGTTTTAACACATTAGGGTAATTACTGACTTGAAAGAATCATATCTAAACCAGGCGCTGGCGTGGAATAATTAAAAATTATTTTGAACAAAACCACAAGGTTTTAGAGTAAAATGTTGCTCTTAATTGTGTCTACGTTGCAATACAAAAATCAAATTCTCTTTCCACTAGGTAACATTTCCAGCGCCTGCTTTAACTACGGCAAAACAAGTTTGTACATTCGGGCAATACCCGTGTATTTTTAAACTTTACATTTTGAATTAGAGTAAATGAAGTTTCTGCTACAATATGGGTTGGAACCCCTATTTATAATAGCAATGGTACCATAGGGAAAATTATAGGATTGACTTGCACATAAATATCACTCAAATTTCATGTTCCGGACATTGGATATCGAACGCTTGCAGATTTGCCTTAAAGTAATTGGGGAGACACAACAAAGTTAAACCCATAACTCCGCCACTGGAAGTGGGACACAAACTTTTTAGTTGTACCTTATCGGTACTTGAGCTACAGCCACAGCTTTTTGTACGGTAAGAAATCTTTATTTGTTTATAATAGTATCAAACAATCTTTAAGATTTTTTGATAACCTTATTAATACTAGGTATGGCCGGAAATGACCCCGTACCACTCATTAAAATCGAACCGAAACAAGAAGTAGAAATCCATTCCGATCTTCAAGATAACATTTTAGTAGGCCACGAAGCATTGGTTACAATAAAGGACGAAATTACCATTATTCCACAGTGCTCCAAATTGCTCGATAGTGAAGAATTACAACAACAAACTGATTGCGGATGGAATATTAGAACTGAAATATCCAACGATTATGAATGTGATTTCAGTCAACACACAACAAATAGTAAGCTGCAGGTTAAACAACATCTTTTAAAGCATAATGTTCCAGAAGTCTTTAAGTGTGCTCATTGTGGTTATGGAATGAAGAATAAACAACTGCTTCAACAGCACATTTTAACACATAAATGTAACGCAATACAATGTGCTAATTGTGATTACAAGACTAATAACAAAACCAATTTAAAACGACATCTTTTAAAACATACCAATTCCAAAGATTTTAAATGTGCTAATTGTTATTATGAAACACATAATAAATACCACTTTAAAAGACACCTTTTAAAACATACCGATTCTACAGATTTTAAATGTGCTATTTGCAATTACGAAACAAATTACAAACACCATTTTAAACAACACCTTTTACAACATACCGATTCTAAAGATTTTAAATGTACTAATTGTGATTATGAGACACATAACAAATACCACCTTAAACGACATCTTTTAAAACATACCAATTCTAATGATTTAAAATGTGCGCATTGTGATTATGAAACAACTAACAAACTCTACTTTAATCAACACCTTTTAAAACATACCGATTTTAAAGATTTTAAATGTACTAATTGTGATTACGAGACAAGTAACAAACGTTACTTTAATCAACACGTTGTAAAACATACCGATTTTAAAAATTTTAAATGTGCTACATGTAATTACGAGACAAATTACAAAGCGTACTTTAAACGGCACCTTTTAAAACATATCGATTCTAAAGAGTTTAAATGTGCTAATTGTGATTGCAAGACAAATGACAAACACTACTTTAAACGACACCTTTTAAAACATACCAATTATAAGAATTTTAAATGTGCTACTTGTGATTACAACACAAATAATGAATTCTACTTTAAACACGTTTTAACTCATACCGATTCCAAAGATTTTAAATGTGCTAATTGTGAATATGAGACAAATATCAAACGGAACTTAAAACGACATCTTTTAAAACATACCACCTCTAAAGATTTTAAATGTGCTAATTGTAATTACGAGACAAATGTCAAGTACTGCTTTAAAAGACACATTTTACAACATACCGGTTCTAAAGATTTGAAATGTGCTAATTGTGATTACAAGACAAATAATAAGCACAACTTTAAACTGCACGTTTTAAAGCACACCAATTCTAACGATTTTAAATGTGCTCATTGCGATTATGGAACATATAATAAACGATACCTTAAGGGACACCTTTTAAAACATATCGATTCTAAGAAAGAGTGCTGATTATGAGACATACCAAATTATGTACCCGTTTTTACAAGAGACAAAGAACATCTTTTCCTTTACAAATATTGGTGTCACATAGTTATTTTATTTTAAAGAAATAAATGTTTAATTTAATTATCCTTAATAAACTCGTATATTTACTCCGATTTTCAATATTAGTTATTTGTTTTAGGTATTGTATTTTGCCATTATTTTTGAACTAACACATTTTGACGTGAAGAGATAGTTCCACAGATGGAAATACTATTACTAAAATATTTACATCTGTGATTGATGTGGAGTTAGCACTTTACGCTGGCATTTCTCGAACAGGGGATGAGTTCTCCCATTCAGGGGTGAGAAATACTCTTAAAAGGGTATTGAATTTAGTTATAAATTCAATGATAATAATTTATATTGATTAACAGTTTAGATCGTCGAGGTAGTATCTGCCGGCGGGTGATCTAAAATAACTGCAGGGAGTGATATGTAACCATTAACATTGATAGTCGAAACTAATAGCGTTTTCGATTGGCAAAACTCGTGCTGCACGAGTGCAAATTTTACGTTCTATTAGTAATTTTAGGGCAATTTTCTGTGTTCCATTGGCAAATGTGATGCAACAATTACGCACTCAGTGCAAATTTCGACGCACGAGGTCCGAGAGCTCGTGGAGCTGCTAGTTAACAAATTTTCAAAACAAACGTGCGACAATTTGAATTTGTTTCTTCCGTTGGAGAGTTTTTTGTCGTCATCTAGCGATAGCGAAGATTATGAACTAGCCATAACTTCTATTTTACAAAAAGTTGCACGTACTCATGAAACTGAACGCCAAAAATTGGTCCTTTACAGGAATTTCAAATTTATATTCCTCATCGTTTATTATAAATATACTGAAATCGTTTCAGTCATTTTTTAGAATAGAGATTTGGCGATTACCGAAATCTAAATGAGGTTATGGACAAATGACAACAAATATTTATGTTCCATTGAGAGCAATTTTCACATGAATTTTTTCAATTTCTCGTGCAACACTCGTGCAGTACGAGTTTTGCCAATCGAAAACGCTATAAATATAATTTTGAGCGGGAACCGTGTTTTGATTCTGGGATTGCAACGTTGCCACTTTGCCGTGAAATCTGTCATCTTCACCTCGAGCCTGGGGTGGGTTAAGATCCTGTACAGTTTCAAAGGCCTCGTGAATCCTTCGCGAAAAATACATTGCCTTTTCTTATTGTGCCATCTACCTGGAACACACTGTGTATAAAAAATCTTCCTTCGTGAAGAGACTTCTATGCCAGTACTTGAGCTACAGCCAAAGCGGTATCTACATCTGTACAGCTATTGATTGGTAAATTTTATTTTTGAGAAACGAAAACGCAGATATGGATAGTAAATCAGTTGTTAAAGTCGAACCAAAACACGAAGAAGAAATTCATTCCGATCTTCAAGGAAACCTTTTAGTAAGCAATGAAGCATTGGTTAAGATAAAGGACGAAATTACAGTGACTGGACAGTGCTCCAAATCGCTTGATAATGAAGAAGCACAACAAACTGATAGTGGATGGAATATTAAAACTGACATTTTCAACTATTTTGACTGTGACTTCGGTCAACACTCAACAAATAGTGAGCTGAGAGTTAAACAATTAAAGCACAAAGGCTATAACTGTGCTCATTGTGATTATAGAACAAAGAACAAACGGTTGTTTCAACGGCACATTTTAAAACACAAACGCCATGTGCTATACTGTGCTCATTGTGATTACAAGACAGATAGCCAATCCAACTTTAACCGACACAATTTGAAACATAAGGAATTGAAGTGTGCTAATTGTGATTATAAGACAAATGTGAGACACCACTTTAAACGGCACCTTTTAAGTCATACCGATTCTAAAAATTTTAAATGTGTTAATTGTAATTACAAGACAACCACCAACTACCAATTTAAACGGCATCTTTTAAAACATAAATGTTTAAAAAATAACGTGCCTAAAGTTTTTAATTGTGCTATTTGTGTTTATGGAACAAAGAATAAACAATCTCTTAAACGACACCTTTTAAAACATTCCGATTGTAAAGAGTTTAAATGTGCCAATTGTGATTACGAGACAAATATCAAATACTACATTCAACGGCACGTTTTAAAACATTCCAACTCTAAAGGTTTTAAATGTGCTAATTGTGATTACGAAACAAATAACAAACGCTGCCTGAAACAACACCTTTTAAAACATACCGATTCTAGAGAATTTAAATGTACTATTTGTGAATACGAGACAAATAACAAATACCACTTTAAACGACACGTTTTAAACCATAACATGTCTAAACAATTTAAATGTGGTAGTTGTGTTTATGGAACAAATAATAAACAGTGTCTGAAACGACACCTTTTAAAACATTCTGATTCTGAAGATTTTAAATGTGTTAATTGTAATTATGAGACAAATGACAAATATTACTTTAAACGACACCTTTTAAAACATGCCGATTCTAAAGATTTTAAATGTGCCAATTGCGATTACGAGACAAATTACAAACGCCACTTTAAAATACATATTTTAAAACATAACGATTCTAAAGATTTTAAATGTGCTAATTGTGATTACCAGACAAATAAAAAATACTACTTTAAACGACACCTTTTAAAACATAACCTGTCTAAACAATTTAGATGTGCTAATTGTGTTTATGGAACAAATAATAAACAGTGTCTTAAACGACACCTTTTAAATCATTCCGATTCGTAAACATTTTAAATATGCTCATTGTGATTATGGAACGTTCTGTCTTAAACGATACGTTTTTAGGCACCTGAAGGCTGGAGTAGAGCAACACCATTTTGTTGTTTCCTATGTACATGCAATGTATTATTTTACGAGTTGTGTTATCTCAATTGTTTGTACAGGTTTTTTGATGTGTTTTTGTACGAATTGATTTATCAGGTTTTCCACTGCATTTATGATGTCTTGAGTATTTGGTTTTATGAACTTGTTTAATTCCATTTGATTGGATTATCTTTTTTTTTTTATTTTTTATTTAAACTACCCATTGCAGGGTCTTTTAATATTATTACAATCTGATCAGTTGAGTTGAGTAGATCAATGAGTAATTTTATTCTAACCTACTTGACTACGTTTGGTGATTCTTAAATCTAAGGTCTTACTCACTAGTTTGCCTCGTGTTCTGATAACTTAACTACACTAAACTTAACATGTAGCTCAAATACCGCACAATACTCTGCTTTGCACTATCACTATTTCACTAGCTCAAAAGGCTTCGTCCTCTTGAGTCTTCTTAGCAGGTTTGTGTTGTCCAGGAGCTGGATAGCCTCGACGTTCACATGGTGGAGCAGCCTTTGTTCATGACTACTGGCAAATTTGGAGATAGTTTGACCAACAGTATCCATTTGTAGGTCCCGATGGATGTCTCCGTTTCGGCAGTACCAGGGTGCATCGACGATGTTCCTTAGTACCTTGTTCTGGAAACGCTGAATTACTTGGATGTTGCTCTTACTGGCACAACCCCAGAGTTGAATGCCATAGGCCCAGGCGGGTTTCAATATTTGCTTATATAAAAGCAGTTTGTTATCTGTGGACAATTTAGAGTTTCGTTCAAGTAGCCAATACATTTTTTTCAATTTAATACCAAGCCCTTCACGTTTCTTTCTGACATGTACTCTCCAGCGGAGTCTTGCGTCTAAAGTCATTCCCAGATATTTAGCTGAATTGGCATAGGGAATCTGGGTATTGTTGAGTCGGATAGGTAGATGTTGCTTCCGTTTGTTAGTAAAGTCCACATGTACGGACTTATTTTCGTTTAGCTTGATGCACCAAGTATTAGTCCATGTGTTAATTCTATTCATGGAAGTTTGAAGTTTTTCATTAGCCTCTTCATGATTTTCTCCAACGGCCATAATTGCCGCGGTATCATCAGCAAATGTTGCTATAGTTTCATATTCAAGACTTGGGATATCACTAGTATACAACAGATAGAGTACCGGACCCAGCACACTACCTTGTGGCACCCCTGCTCTGATTTCTTTTAGTTCAGAGTATGCACCGTTCTGTTTAATTCTAAAGTATCTCTCTGATAAATAAGATTGTAAGATTTGTGAGTATTGTTGTGGTAGAAAGGAGTTCAGTTTATGAAACAAACCTTCGTGCCAAACTTTATCGAAAGCCTGGGCAACATCGAGGAACACGGTGGCACAGACTTTTTTTCTTCTAAGGCTTTTTCAATGACGTTTGCGATTCTATGGACTTGATCGATGGTCGAGTGGCTTTCCCTGAACCCAAACTGGTGACACGGAATCAAATTCTTTTCCTCTATTATGGGTTTTAGTCTCTTAAGAAGCAATTTTTCATACAGTTTCGAAATAACTGGCAGCAACGATATAGGCCTATACGACGCTACATCATGAGGAGGTTTTCCTGTTTTAGGGATCATGATGACTTCTGCGACTTTCCACATCTTAGGAACATACTTCAACCGGAAGGATGCATTAATAAGGTTGGTAAGTTTCACTATGGCTTTTCTTGGGAGTTGTTTCAAAATTGCTCCAGTGATTAGATCAAAGCCAGGGGCTTTTTTCGGGTTGATGTTTGCTTTAATTTCTTGTGAGATTTCTCTTGGCGAAGTAGTTTTTATGACAATATCTTCCTGTTCTGGTTCAGTCCATTCTTGTGGATCTTCTCCCTCATTTGGCGTGAAAATACTCTCGAGATGCTCTGCGAACCTATATGCTTTTTGGATATTGTTTCGGGCCCAGCTTCCATCCGCATTTCTAATTGGAGGATTATGTAAAACCGGCCTTTTTAATCGTTTGGTAGCCTTCCAAAGTGAGTACTCTGTTTTACTATCGTTAGTTAGTTCTCTCAAGTAAGCTCCAATCGATTCATTTCAAATTCGCTGAATTTCGCGCTTTAATCGCTGTGTTGCGTTGTTCAAAGCTGTTTTATCAGTTGGTGATCTGGTCTGCTGCCATTTCCGTCTAAGTTTTCTCTTTTCTGAGATAAGGTTCCTTATCTCTTTTGGGTAGTTATTTCCTTTTGTTCTACGGTTATACCTACTCATCAGGAGTGCTATCCCACGCTGCTCATCTAGTTGCTGTTCTGTTCTTAGTGGAACCGAAAGCTCAATCATTTCTTCAAGTTTAATTTTGAAACTTTGCCAATCTGTCAGCTTGTTAGTTAAACTCGGTAGATCTTCTTTTTGGATTACACTATCACTCAGTGTCAGAAGTATAGGAGAGTGGTCTGAGTTCATATCCCACGCTTCTTCAATATGGATATAATTTGGTGAGATATTCCTGATTACAAAAAAGTCGATAAGGTCAGGAATTTTTTGCGGATCAGTAGGCCAATACGTCGGCTTACCACCTGATAATACTTCGCATTTTAACTGTTTAGAGGCTTCTAAAAGTTCCCTACCTTTAGTTGTAGTTAACCTAGATCCCCAGTGTGTGTTTTTTGCATTAAAGTCACCTCCAATGACGAATCTATTCCCTTGGCTATGGAAAAAATCCATATATTGCTCTTTCTTTATAATATGTCTCGGTGGGCAGTATAATGCTGTGATTATTACCTCATATGATTTTGTCTTAATGTTAACGGATGTAGCCTGTATTTCCACTGTTTGGTAGCCCATTTCTTGAGGGTATAAGATGGACTCGATCTTTTATGATAATTGCACTTCCTCCTTTTGCTATATTGTCCGGATGGATCGTATGATAGAGTTTAAATCCCTTAAATTTGATGCATGTCTCCTTCGTGAAATGGGTTTCAGCTATGAGGCATATATCAATTTTTTCTATGTCAAGGATTGCTTGCAACTCTTGCTGATGTTGCAGCAGTCCCATTGGAATTCCACTCTAGGATTTTTAACTGATTAGCCATTTTTGGCTTTAGGGATCGCTCCTTGCGCGCGATATTCTAGTTTGGAAATGCGTTCATCAATTTTATTTAACTTCTGTAATATTTGTTGAAGCATATTGTCAATGGATGAATTCATATGGTTAGTTTCTTTCTCATCATGTTTATTTGTTCTATCGGACACTGCTTGGCTGTAGGTCTTGCTCTTAGACCCGCTTCCTTGTTGTGTTAAAACTGTGTTTGTTTTAGGCGGAGCAGGTCTTTGAGGTTGTTTAGGCAGACTAGGTTTCTTGAGTTGCCTATTCTTGATTTCCTGCATTTCTTTTGCAACTAAACACCCACGGTAGCTGGCAGGATGCTGTTTTCCACAATGAACACATTTTGGGGTTGTCCCTTTTGGTTTTTCACAGTCCGCTGTGAAATGTTTCCCAGTGCATTTCACGCATCTGGGTTCTTTAGCGCAGTACTTCTGCGTATGTCCATAAGCTTGGCACCGCTTACACTGCGGTACTAAGGTGGATTTTCTTATTGCCTGAATTTGTACTCTTATGCCCATGATGTCGGTTATGCTGAAGATTTTGCTAATATCTTCATCATTTCTGAATGATAACATGAACATGTTCAGTGGCTGTTTTGTTTTATACTTCAACTTCCTAGTAGCTTCAAGAAGTTTGAATCCTCTTCTTCTCATGTCCTTCGTTATTTCATCAGGATCACAAGAATGATGAAGATTGATGACCATTACCTTGATTGGTCGCGTGTCTGCTTATTCTCATAGGAGTGCCATGGGTATTTTTTTTTCATTTAATATCTTCGTTAGAGCTTGGTATTGTTCCTCCTTCGCAACGTTGATTTTAACGCTTTTATTATTAATGATTTTAATTTGATGCCCCGTCATCATATTATAGTTATGAGGTCATGGAGTGCTTTAAAATTGCTTAGCAGTGCTTTTTTTGTATTGGCCTGTTGGTTTTCTTTTTCTGGGACTTTTCGACTGTGTTGTGGAGGGGTAAGTGATGTATCCATTTTTCTTTTTTTGCTGTGTTTTACCCTTATTCATTCGGTCTCCTTGGCTAATTCTTCCTCATCAGTGAAGTATTCAACCGGTTGTTCTTTTTCGTTTTGGGTTGATGAACTTTGCTCCAGACTTTTTTCTAGCCCCTTGTATTTGGTTTCTAGTTTTGCATGCATTTTGTGGATATTTTCGAGTTGCTGCTGTATTGCATTAAATTTACTAACTATGCAATTTCGTTCATACTCAGAATTCTTCCAGGCGTTATAAAGCGCCTGTTCATTCTGTGATCTCGCGCTATTTTCCTGGAATATCGCATTGTTTTGTTGAATTAATATTGCCTCATTAGGCGTAGATTGTGTTGGTGTTCCCTGAAACATTATTACGCGATAGCTTACGGCCGTGAACTTGACCGCCGGGTATCACTCGCGCACAATGATAACCGCGTATCACTCGTTTGCACGTTGTGAAAGCTCTATTACACACGTCTTTATCGTATGAAATTCAAACGAATACTGATTGGATTATCTGATTTTTATTATACAATTTGAGATGTTTTATTTATGTGTATTTTCTCTTGCATTTTATTGCTCTAGATGATTTCTTTCATGTATTTGTGTGGCCTATACCGGGGTTTTTGTCCCGTAGAAGGTTTCCCTGGTATGGTCTTGTTGTGTGTGTAATATATTTATTTGTTCTTGTCATTTCTTACACACAAAAGTTCTGTCTTTTATTTAATTCCCTTCCCGATTACGTCTCACGTCCCAACACATACAAAGAACCGATTACATAACGTAGGAGTTCATTCGTGCCACCCATATCGAGACGACTGCCATCCATATTTAACAGTGTCACGAAACGTCTATCGTTTCGACTTGAAAGGTAAGTGGCTCTGCTTGTAGTTTTTTTTCCTAGAGTTGTCAACGGCGGTAAGTATATAGGGTAAGTCAACATTTTCAGTGTTAGCTGGATAGACCCGCCTAGGACCATTACAAGTTACAACATTAAC